ACTACTACTGCTACTACTACTACTACTACTACTACTACTACTACTACTACTACTACTACTACTACTACTACTACTACTACTACTACTACTACTACTACTACTACTACTACTACTACTACTACTCATGTTATTTTTTACTATCCATTATATCTATACCGTCATTACTGTACGTTTAGTTCCTTTTTTGGGCGGGTATAAGGAAAGACTGATAAAAGTAAACTTGAGCTCTCCATTTGGAACTTACGCACATCTGACAATAGTCTTCACTTTCAACTTTTGAGTTGCCGAGACGAAATCTGCAAAACAAAACGCCTTTATTTATCCCATTTTAAGAATGAGAGATCGGAATTTACTTTTACCATAAGAACATCTATACAAAAGATAAGTTCGATGTCTGTTGGCACAGGTACATTTTAAAATAATACATCGAAGATGGCATAGGAATTTGAAACAAAAACTGATTTTCTTATTTTGAGTTATTTTGTGCGCACAGATAAAAAACTGATTGGTCTTTTGTTATATATGGAAGGAACCACACGCGGAAATAGAATTATATTATGAGTGTAGCAGGTGTGTGACAAACCAGGCTCACTACTCACTGGTCTATTGAGTTACGTCGTTGGATCGATATTATGGTAAAAAGTTGAGTAAATGCAGACATTTGTGTCACGCTGGGAGACCAGGTGCAAACATCTTGGACTACACATCGACAACAACACAAATACATTCTCACTGCTTCTGTCTTTTTATTTCTCCTTCTTTCTCTCTTTCTCTCTCTCTTCTCTCTCTCTCTCTCTCTCTCTCTCACATATACACACAAACACACATACATACTCACTCTCTTTCTTCATTCTCTCTCGTTCTTCCCCCTCCCAATTCCTGTACAAATTCACAGTATTCACAGGGAGCCCCTTTGAAAATGCAAAACAAAAAGTAATAGGTGACAGCTCGACTGCACTATTACTTCACACAGACAACATATAGCACACTTTCTATAGCAGACAGACAGGCAAACAGACAGAAATGCAGATAGACATATATATATATA